GCCTACGAGGCAGACGACACGAATGTATCTGATGCGGAGCTCTCAGACGATGCATTCTCAAACAAGGTGCTCGACAGTCTGCGCATCTATAAAAAACGAGAGGAGGAAGAACGCGCAGAAGTGCGGCCTTTGATAATGCCCCGCCCGCGGCATGGGTCCGGACAAACAGAACCGGACGAGGGAGGTTGGACAGTACTCTTTCGTGCTAAGAGGTCTATGGCTAATTCAATGTCTTATCAAGCAATGCATTTTCAAGTTATGCGCTCGCTAAACTGGCATGTCGCAGAATTGGAATCGGAAGAGACCATCGAGGCCGCACTACAGCGACAATTGAAGGGTGTGGTGGAAACGCAACCGTGTGTGGACGCGATAATGGAAAGCGTGATGTGATGACGTTACGTACACGTGATTCAATGTCGAGACGCGTTATTTGTTCTTGTTTGGTCCGTGTTCATTCTCAAAGGCGCCGCCGCCGCCTTTGGCTCCTCCCTCGTCCACTACAGGCAACACTTACGCCTATATTTTCTTCTCTGTGTATAGTTAAATTTCCCTCCATTCTACCATGCCCTCTGAACATGGCCTATCCGACTCCACTGACATTTTCTCACTCTCTGATCGGGTTCTCGCCGACAAGCTCCTCTTCGTCAAGGAGGTGCGCTTCGCGATCCATTCTCCGTCCCAGCCGGGTTATCTCATGTACCCCCTTAGATTGGTTTCGGAAACTGGGGTAGTGTTTGGTTATGCCGACCGAGAGTGCCAACCGGTAATGGCATCAAACTTGCCGTGAAGCTCGTACACCGATCAAAGACAACCACGACAGCTGCCCGTGTTCGATCACTGTCAGTGTCCCATTTCACACTATTAGCCTCCATCGCTGACAGCGTTTCACTCAGATGGAACGAGATGAAAGTAGTCAGGACGTTCAAGGATGATCCCCATCCTTCGATCGTACCTTTCCATTCATTCATCATCACTCCTTCATACGCACTCATCACGATGTGAGTTTAACTCGCCTATATGCGACCATTTGCGAGGTTTGGTGATGGCACTGTCCTCACGCGAGCCTTGGCTGTGTAAACGCGTTTCTAACATGACGTTTCTTCTCAGGGAGTATCTCCCAGAACTTGTCCCCGTCGAAGTCCCGGAGCAAAGAGCCAAAGAGTGGTTTCACTCACTTCTCTCAGGTGTCCGATTCCTCCATTCTCGGGGGGTTGTCCACAACGACATCAAGTAAGCATCGCATTCACTCCCGATTGGCGTACGTTGTCGCTCAAAGTTTAACTTAGACCCGCGAACATCTTGTTGTCGGAGCGACAAGTGCCTGTGTTGGTCGACTTTGGTTTTGCAGAGAAGTACGACATAGAGAACGGAAACGCTTTTCGTTCCAATCTTACATATGGTACTCCAGAAGTATGTTCGCTCTCTATTACTTTTGCGAACATTTTATTGAATTCCTTGGAGTACTTATCCCCAGAGCGGGCAAGGGGCCTTCCACATGACACTCGCAAGGCAGATATTTGGGCACTTGGCATTGCATTTTTTGAGATCCTCATCGGGCGTACGCCATTCGAGCACACCGAGGGAGAGCCGTTTACAACCAAGGCTGCTTTAGAGGATTATTGGTCACGGACTGTACGTTGACTTTGGTCTGAGCTGCTGCCTGACTCACGATATGATATGCAGATGCGTGGAAAGTGGCTTGGCAGCTGGAAGATGTCCAAAAGCATCGAGAGGATGTTGCATCGCATGATTCAGCCAAACGCTGACTTGCGTTCCACCGCACCTGAGGTCTTACAGGATTCTTATTGGGATGCACCGCTTCCTACTTCAGAGCATAAGAAACCGGCAAGTGGTAGGACCCCAGATAGGCCGCGAAATGCCGTCCCGCCCTGGTCTTCACGTCGTACATCCAAGGCTCAACCACCTAAGCGCGAGCAGACGGAGAAGAAGCATGATGACAAGGAGAACGCTCCGCTTACTGTGTCCCACTCCAAGAAGGTTCCTGCTCGGCAGCGTGTACTCTCGGGAACGGATGGTGAGCATCACTTTACTAGTAGTCAGAAATATAACTGACCTTTGTCTAGTTCTCGGCTTAGCGAAGAGGCGCCCTAATGTCGACGTACACCTGCTCACACCACCGCGTCACAGAGAGAACGTATCTGCACTCAAACAGAGGTCCCCGAAAGTCCAAGGCAAAGAGAATGGCGTTGTCCAGCAGAAGACCGCCCCACGCAAGCAGCCGTCTGCACGTAGTCTGGCGCGAAAGCCCTCTGTTCTGGGAGATCGTACAGTTCAGATACGCAATGCTGAGAACTCACGGCCTGGCATCCTAGACAAGAGTGTCAACGAGACCGATAGGAGCAAGGGGAGTGTCCGTGATCGTATGCGTGAGTGGGAGCTCGAACGCGCAAGGCTACGAAAGATGGAGCTCGGGGATGAGTCGGACACCCAAGATGATGCCAAGCAAGAGCAGGAACAAGGGGAAAACAAGCGACCCCTTCCCGTTCGAAAGCCGTCACGCCTCTGGGACACCACGCCACCTCTACCACCGTCGCCTGGTATGCCTTTCCTGTTTACGCTTGTCCTCGTGTGGTAACTGTTATTATTCTTGCAGATGCGCATTCTTCGCCGGTGAGGCCTACTGACACCCTCACGCAGAGCACGTCGGGGAAGCTCTTCAGGGACTTGAATGCCCCACCGACATCTATGCCTTCTTTGCCAGGTACGGTTTTGGTCCCCGTCCTCGTACATACGACGTTTATAAAATCCTATTAGTCGAAACGGACCTACCGATGCGCGGATCGCTCACACAAAACTCATCTGCTAACGAGTCGAGTCTCAGCCTCTTCAAGCAGAGCTTAAAGGTCCCACTGGGTACGTCAGTGCATAGCACTCATTGTGCTTTTTCTAACCCTTTTGGAATGTCGATACCTTAGGCAGAACAGTCGATATTTGCAAGTCCTCAATCGGCTTGGTTGGGCGTCGCCAAAATGCAGCCCGTCCTAGTTCACCGCAGAGATTGAGCAAGCAGCCATCTTGGGAGACTGAGATTCTTGACGAAGGTAAGCTTTTCAGCTCAGCTTTATCTTTGTCTCAGGTTTGTCATACCATCTTGTGATAGTAAATTCGACCTTGCCCACTGTGCATCAAGCTGCGAGAAACCAACAGGCTGGCGCAGACAATCGGGTTGATCGGATGTCCCTCTGGCTTCAGAATGTCGAGAGTATGTTTACGCAAAGTGTCACATTTGTGCACCCTGTTCACGCCATTTTCCCAGAGGTCGTTGCTGATGCAAGGCAAAATTTTGCTTCGTCCAATGTTAGTCTGCTTCCTCCCCTTCCTGTTGCTCCGGGGCCCCAGACTAGAAGACCATCACGAGATCGCTCTCAAGATGATTTGAGTCGGTTGACAAGGCCATCACGTAGGGCTCTCCATGCCAATCGGATTCTTCAAGGGGAGGAAGACTCTAATACAGATCGGAGTTTTGCTTCCTCGTCGAGCCCGGTACAGGATGATCGCCAAGGTGTTGTCCCTACAGATATACTCCCTGGAGTCCCACGAGGCGAACATAGTCGTCCAATTTTCTCTCATGACAGTCCACGGCCGACCCGCCGTGCGACGGTGCTTGGGCACTCACCGGAGAAGTCAGGAGTTTTGGATATCCACGTTGACCTGACGCCGTCAAAACGTAGGGAGAAGTCAAAGTCAGCAAACGACTTGAAACGCCTTATCCGTCCCATCTCTAAAGTCCAGTTCGAACTGGATAAGCGTAAGAGTTTCGTTGTATAGTTGTTTATCTGTAACTCACCTCTTTATGTAGTTGCGGCAAAGTCGAGTCTCTCTGCAGTCCTTGACCGAGACCTATTCACCCCAGATCCTGTGCAGCTAGATCCAGATACGTCTGAGAGCTCAAGCGATCATGTGGCCGCTCATAGTCCAGGCCGCAACAGTCTAACTGACTCACCATTTGTTGTTCATCCATACCCTTCTCGCCGGCAGGCAGTCGCATCCCCGGACCTAGACTCTCCTGCACGTCGCGACGTAGAAGGTGTCTATGACCGATTTCTTATGGCTACTAATGGTGTGAAGCGTGTTGGTAAAGGCTACCAGTCATGCCACGTCAGGCCAATCGCGAAAAATGTGCCATCGCCTGCCAAGAGTCCCGGTCGATTCTTTCATTCAACCCGCCGACGAATGCCACCGCCGGTATCTAGTGACGACATGTTCATGATGTCGAGCACAGATGAACTCGGTGTCATCTTGTCTGACAATGCGAATGACGACGGTATTGGCCTCCAGGAGGATCGGGCGGGCACTACGAAAGGTTTCAGTCGCGCTCTCAGAGCACTCGTCACAGGAAAGCCGGCTGTGAACAAGGCATCGCGTACATCATGACGGCATTCTACATCCTTGCCCCTGGCGAACACATCCGACCCAAGCCACCGCTCTCATCCACACCGCTATCTATATCTTTATCTCTTCATCTGGCCTACGACCTGCATGTCATCTTCACATCAGTTGTTTATATCATCATTACCCGGTTCACATCGCATTCTTCACGTTTTCCTTCCCCTCATCAACTGTCCCCCCTATCACGTACCCATTCTATCTCCTTGGTTTTGTGGATGTCTTTCTCCTGTGCTATCTGTTGTTGTGCGATATATCGCGTCTCTCGTCACGATGTCACTCACGAGTTAGATTTTTACGGTTCCGTATTTTCCCTCACGCCTCTTCACGTCCATGCACTACTTACGATCACGCTTTGATGTTTTGTGCGGCATGATTGTAATTGTACATAGTCCTATCACGAGCAGCCTAATGACTTGCAATGGTTCATTTCTTTTTTCACCTTTCCCTGTCATCCAGAACGTAGCTGTCATCGAAATATAGTAGAGGTAAGGTAGAGAGGCCCCGGTCCGGCAGATCCGGCAATCGGCGGATGGTTTAGTCGTGCCTCCTCCACATTGCAAGGCGTGGGAGGATTCCGCCATTGTGTACAAGACACCATAGCTGAGTGGCTACAGTCACAGACAAGAAATCTGTTTCCCTTTAAGAGCGCAGACCTGAAATCTGTCTACATGGGAATGCAGGTTCGAATCCTGCTGGTGTTTGACTTCTTTTTTCTCTACCTTCTTGTCTTGGGAAGGATACATGTTCGTTCAATGTTCGAGGTCCGAACGGACCTTCGGTCCAGCTGGTCTGGTGGTTACGGAATGCCCGAGATGAAGCATTTGAGATCGAATCGCGTTGGTGTTCACCTCCTTTTTGTCTGATATCTTTGGGTTTTTAGAGCAAGTTCATGCCACGACATGCCAAAAGTTAAATGGCACAGTGACAATGATTCTTGGAGCTTCTAGGCAAGAGGTGTGTGGAACGCAGCACAGCAATATGACAGGTTCCAGCCTGCTGCCTACCAGCGTTGCATCCTCCGCCGCTGACGGGCCCCAATCACCCCCCAACTTGAAAGTCTCATAGCTATCCTGAACATATTCCCATTTCTGCAATCGCGCGCCCCTGGTAGCTACCACAACCTATCCCCGTCAGATTCCGTGAACCCGCATCGACCGCGAAGCATGCGTGAGGCATCGCGGGGTATGTATGAGTATGAACGGTACGGAAGTAGATACTACTGTCCCCCACCCGCCACACAGAATTGCGTCTCGGATCAGAAAACGTGGCACTGGTTCCCACGCAAGCCCCGCCAGCGACTCCAGCCGCGTGACCCTGGAATTCCATGGCGATGCCGGACGCGGGTTGAGCGAGAGCCAAATGCTGCCATAACTCGTGCTGTACATCCATGGCCGGGACAGAGGCGCACGGGAGGTAGTCGTTTCTGCCACGGAACGTGCTGAATAGAGAAACCTCGGACAACACTCGAGAGCAGTCACATAGGGAATACTAAACGGGCCTCCCAGTCCAGTCCCATGGCAATGGCACCGCCAGATCGCGTGAAATGCGGCGGCCGATCTAGCACAAAGGCGGTGCTCTTCAAGCAACGAGCAGTGCACAGCCGTATCGCGAACTTGAAGGCTGGAGTCACGTTACCAGCATGAATACGGTCGGGCACGTTCAAAACGTATTGGCGCCGTGTCTGACTTGGCGAAGAGCGTCCGCGTGTGAACAAATGAGCGAGGGCGAGGAGGGCGAGCTGCACACCCACGGAGTGGGCAGCATCCATACGGGGATTGCGGTCTCTAGTGCAGTTTCGGCGGAAGGTTCATTCGGGGTTCATTCTCCATTGGGTTCGTGCCATGTGTGGCGCGAAGCGTGTGGTGGCTGTCTCGGAAACCAGCGCACCAACTGCCTGGTGAGGAGGATATTGCTCACACGCACATGAAGAATTGAGTAGCTGAGACAAGGGTAGTAGCCATCATGTCGATAGAACCAGTGAACGGGGTGCATTGCCTAAAGTTGTCGTAGAAAAATAGAAAGGTAGGACAGAGACGTGCATCCGCCAATACATATCATATGCCACGGAAAACGATAGTTTGATCAGGTGGCGTCGGGATGTCACTAAAACGCGGACGGTTCTATAGACAGTGAAGAACATCCCACGCCGCTGGTTGTGGTGAACTCCACAGCAAAGAACGATCGCCAGACAAACGATAGATACGTCACACCGGGAAGATAAGCGGCTCACACTCGCTTTAGGGCCTTGCCTTACGGAGATCGTGGACAGAGACTCCGGGGGTAGGCAGGCTGCAGGATAGAGGTGGATGGATGTAAAACGTATCAGACAGGGCCCATGGAATAGATTCCCGAGAAGGCTGATGATTTATGACCATCATGGCTGAAGTCTATGAGGGTATCCCTCTGATGATCGATAGGTTTTGCCGAAACGCACATTGAGGCGAAACGTTTTTACGGCCATCGCCACCCTCGCTGTGCAACACGAAGAGGACAGGACAAGGAGAACAGGGGGGTATGGAGGTTCACAACTACTTGACCTTATTTGAATTAAAGAGCTGTCAACAGTAAGACGAATCCCCCTTTTGAAAAAAAATTTACCAAGTGATGGGGGCGCCTGGGATTAACCGCGTCGCGCTACCACGCCGTTGTAGAGTGCGTAGAAGAATTTTTCTTGGGTTGATGCATTCACTATTTGAGGGCTTGGCGTCCGCGGAGATAACTCGGTTGGCAGCAAATTGTCAACGGTCGCTTGTGTAAGTTTGCACATAATTCCGGTGGCAGTAAGAGGTCGAGCTCGCTGTTGACCCGAACGACTCGAGAAGATGCAAACGATCCCGAGCTACCCAGCAGCACGGTCGAGCACAGGCTCAGGCTTCAAAACCAGGACCAGGACACATATGGGGGGTTTATGTAATCAATTTGACCTGAAACGGAAAGCGGTGATTGATGACCTGACCCGGCCTGACCTCCTTCGCAGTTTTCATTTTATAAACGGCAACGGGTAGACAAAGCCTGAGACCTGGGGAGAATGAGAGCTCGAGATGATTCCACCCGACCATCGACCGCTCCGTGCCAGACAATTATCTGAATCGGTCACAACGACGACCGCTTTCGCCACTACCGACAGCGCCGCCCTTGACTCGCCCTCGGCCGTGTTATCGACGACGTCTTCCGATCCCTCAACCACTAATCTTCCACCTTCCAGCTTCTCCGACTCTAGGTGCGCCAACTCCCTTTTCACCTGTTTCTCTCTCATCCAATATCTGCTCTCTAGCACTTCCGCTTCCCCAAGCACCACTTCAACCTTCTCTCCAACCTCTCAGATCGTCACCCGTTCCTCCGCCACTCCCACCTCGTCGTCTTCCAGCTCTCTCACCCTCTCATCTCCTGTTTCTACGACAACACCGTCTCCATCTTCTATCTCACCTACTTCGTTGCCACCAACTGCGTCAAGCGGGTTTGTCCTCTCTACGTTCACATCTTCCTTTGTTACCGACGTCAATGGGAGCCCAACAACGGCAAGTCTCACACTTTATCCACCCCCATTCACCTTTTTTTTGCTGGCCTTGCGGTCGTTGACCGGATATACAATTGTATGATTAACCTGTTTTGCTAATCTCCTTTCCTAGATTGTCACCCCTATCGTCACCGCCTTACGCACGTCCTCCCCATCCACAGTCTCGACCCGTTCTTCCGTCATAGCCGGCTCCACCGTCGCCGGCCTTGCCCTCTTCATAATCGCCCTCGCCACCGTGTTTGTCGTACGCCGGCGGAGGCGCCGCCAACGCTACTGGTCCCTCTCGCGCAAGCAACTCCCGTCCCGTGCGACCTTCCTCGCCGGCGAAGAAATGGACTTGCCGTTCCCGAGCCCGCCCTTCGCGCTGACGGAGCACGATAACCCGTTTTCGAGCCTCGGCTCGCACCGCGGCAGCGTTGCCGGCGTCAGCACTGAAGGTGGTGGTGGTGGTGGTGGTGGTGGCCCGTCGGCGTTCTACCAGCATTCGCTCTACTCGCGCTCGCAGTCGTCGCAGATACACGTACACTCGTCTTCATCATCGCCCCCGCGTCTGCTGCGCGCGCGCGCATCGGAGTCGGGCTCGATATTCCAGGAGAGCGTCTGGCCCCCGCCCTCCGCTGCCTCGCAGCTGATCGACCCGCTCACATCTCCCTCGCAGAGCGTCGACCTGGGCCGCATCGTCAACGACGTTATGGGGCCTTCGCAGCGCGTGACCATGCGTGACACGCCTGTGCCCGAGGGTGGTCTGCGATTCTCTTCCCCCGCCCCCGCCCGCTCGCCCGAGCCGGTGCCGGAGCAGGAGGAGTCGGAACCCGAAGAAGAGCAGGCGGTCACGACGCCCCCGCTCGCCCTCGCCCTTGCCATCGCCAACACGAATCCGAACAGCTGGCCCCCATCAGAGTCGCAATCGCAATTACACCCATCACCGCCCGCTACGCCACCACCACTACCGCAGCCGACGTGCTGGCTGAATCGTTCCCCGAATCCCTCTCCGAGGGGTTCGCCATTGCATCGTTCACATCCCATATGATGACGCCGCGTGCCAATGTTCTTTTTTTTCGGTTTTGGTTTTGTTCCTCCCCTCGGACTAATTTATCAGGTATGATGACAAGAAGAATACACGGACAATAAAGGGAGAGAGGCATACCCGCCTGTACGACGTTTCTTTGTTTCTTTTTGTTACAAAATACTGTATACCGTCATTATCACATTACACCTCGGACACACTAACGTGCACATGTTTTCATCTTCACGACGAGTTACAGTTGCACTTACTCACGCTACACAATATTCTCACGCCGGGCATCTCGCCCTTCACAGAACGGCGCCCATAAGTGGGGCAACACGGGTTTCACCCAACACGGTAACGATCCAGGCACACCGGGTGAGGTCAAGAGTCATTCGAGTCGTAACAAAACGGGACAACATCGCAAAAGGCGAGATGACGAAGTATAAGCGTTTTTACAACACAAGCGCGACAAACTGTGATTGTAATATAACAGGCGTGTATGCAAATTAAGGGGTGAAGAAAAAGGTGAAAACGGTCGTAAGATGCGGGACAAGCTAGCCCATTCAGCAGCTTGTCCTATGCATGTCCGAGAGGTAAGTTCAGCGCATCAGTACGTCACTCATAGTCATCATCGCCGTAAAGTCCGCGTCCATCTTCCAATACCTCAAATTAAAACCCAGTGAGAACCAAAGAGGAAAATTTAAATAAAAAAACGCCCCCACCATCACGACGAGGGAGTATCACCCGCAGGAATCGAGTCGTAGCTCGGGGGGATCTCTTGCGGACGGCTCACGGGTGTAGGTTCAGAGACACGTCCAGCGTCCGAGTGTTGTATGATTTCGCTCGGGTTCTCCTCAAGGGCCCCCACAAGTCCAAGGCCGCCCTCGCCGCGGTGCCGCATCGCCTCTCGCTCCTTGGCTGACAGCGGGCGGTAAGGCTGAGCGCCCAGGAAGGCCGGACCGAACCCAGCGCTGCCGTGGGAGCTGCTCCGCGCGTGACTAGATTCGGGGTGGGCCGAGGCACCGTCGCTTGATGTGGGAGCGTAATGCGATCCCGACGTGGCCGTGGCCGCACCACCACCACCCCCTCCCCCTTCAAATGCGCTGCTACCAAGAAGAGCCTGACTGTCTCTGTATTGTCGCATGCTGCCGTTGCCACTAAACGTGGGTGAGCTA